GACGTTGGTCAAAGGTGTCCAAGCTCTAACTGGCCGACTTGTCGCTCTAAATCACTTAATCTCTAAATCCACTGACCGATGTAAACCCTTTTTGAGGCTATCAAGAAAGGTAAATGTTTCGAGTGGACCGAAGACTGCCAAAAAGCTCTTGTCAGCATTAAAGAGGCACTCGTCCATCCACCTACTTTGCAAAAACCACTTCTAGAGGAAATGTTATTTCTTTATTTAGGTGTTAGCACATCGACAATTAGCGCTGTGCTTGTCCGAGAAGAAGGAACCTCGCAATTTCCAGTATATTATGTCAGCAAAGCTCTACATGACGCCGAGCTGCGTTATCCTCCTCCGGAAAAAACATACGTTTGCTCTCATTATTGCTGCTCGGAAACTACGACCATATTTTCAGGAGCATTCAATCACTGTTCGTACATCATATCCATTGCGACAAATTTTACACCGGCCTGATACTTCGGGATGAATGGTTAAGTGGGCTTTAGAACTCGGTCAGTTTGATATACATTATCAACCGAGAACTGCTATCAAAGCACAAGCTTTATCCAATTTTATTGCTGAATTTACTCCGACTTTAGAAGTCCAAAAATAATGATCAACCCTGGATCCTTCACATCGATGGTTCGTCTACAGCTAACCGAGCGGGGGGAGGAATCGTTTTAGTAGATCCTGGAAACAAATTGTTTTGCCATTCCGTCAAATTCCTCTTTCCGGTGACAAACAATAAAGTAGAATATGAAGCCTTGTTGTCTGGACTAAGCTTGGCTGAATCTATGAACGTCCGACATCTTAAGGTATTTTTCGATTCTCAACTGCTTGTCAACCAAATCAACGGAATATTTGAAGTTAAAGAACCTCGGTTGGTGCCTTATCAATCCCTCACCAAGAAGAAGTTATCGATGTTCTCTGTCCAAGTTAAACACATCCCGCGAACTCTCAATGTTGAAGCAGATGCTCTATCACGATTAGCTTCCAGTGTCGGCATGGAAAGTGTTGAATATGTTCAAGTCGGACAGCACGAACAACCATCCACTCAACTTCTGGAGGTACTTGCGATCAAAGTGGCAACATCATCAAAACCTCCGACATGGATGGATCTGATTATTGAATACATACAAACCGGGGTCTTACCATCCGATCTGAAGAAGCTCGAGCCCTTCGAATTCTAGCTGCTCAGTTCACCATAGATAATGGACTATTGTACAAGAGAGGATACTCGGTTCCACTCTTAAAATGCATAGCTGAACCTGAATCCAAATATATTTTGGAAGAAGTCCACGAGGGAATTTGTGGAACACACCCTGGTGCCCAAGCTTTAGCTTATAAGATCTTACGACAAGGCTATTATTGGCCAACTCTGAAGTTGGATGTTGTAACCTGGGTAAGAAAATGTCCGAAGTGTCAAATATTTGCACCCAACGTCAATCGATTTCCCGAGATACTCAAGTCGATTTACAGTCCTTGGCCTTTTCCTAAATGGGGGATCGATTTAATTGGACCATTACCAACCGGAAAAGGTGGAGTAAAATTTTCCATAGTCGCTGTTGATTACTTCACGAAATGGGCCGAAGCAGAACCATTGGCCACAATAACCGAGCAGAAGGTCATTGATTTCATATGGAAGTCTTTAGTATGTCGGTTCGGGGTGCCAAATTCCATCATTACCGATAATGGCAGGCAGTTTGAAGGAAGAAGACTTGAGTCCTTCTGCGAGGAATATGGGATAAAATATTTCTACTCTTCCCCTATCACCCCCAATCCAATGGCCAAGTCGAAGCCATAAACAAAGTTAAAAAAAAAAATGGTCTCATGGTTCGACTTGATGCAGCCAAAGGAGCCTGGCCTGAAGAATTACCAATTGTTTTATGGGCTTATTGAACAACTGCTCGAACTTCAACAGGCGAAACTCCATTCTCTTTAACGTACGGATATGAAGCTGTTATTTCCGTAGAACTTGGTGCACCAACATACCGAATTCAAAAATATACCGAGGAGACTAACTCAAAAAACATGAAAGCAAATTTGGATCTGATCGACGAGCTTCGTACTCGTGCTGAATTGAAAAATGCTGCCTACAAGCATAGGAGCGAAAAATATGTCAATTCAAAGCTTAAGCCGCGCACATTTCGAATTGGAGATTTAGTTCTTAAAAGAGTTATGGGGCCAGACCCGGGGCCTTTAAAGCCGAAATGGAAAGGACCATTCAAGGTTATTCAAGTACTCCCTCATGGTGCGTACCGAATTGCACACTTTGACGGAACTCCACATCAGTATCCCTGGAACGCCGTCTTTCTCAAAAAGTTTTATCAATGATGTGTTGGAGATTATCTCGAATACCATGTTTTTTTATAAGCCTTCTCTGTCACCTTTTGATGATGTTACCTTTTGATGAGACAAGAAGACCCTTTTGATGTAATATATTGCAGTATCTAATCACTAAAAATCTGAGTAACGAAAAGAGAAAAACTCGGTACCGAGTAACGCATTTACACTCGGTCTAACTGACACCTTATAAAACATCCAAATCCCATGACTGATTTCTTCAGGTTGAAGCTCGTCCTTTTGTTAAATCCGCAAAAAATGATTTGACAAGGTCCCATTGACAGCCGAACACACTTCGTTTGGTTGGGGCCGTTCTTTAACTAGACCGTGACGAAGTCTAGTGACCCTGCACAATCTCAACTATCGCAAAATATGTTGAGTTTCTTGCTAGTTACTAAACAGCTAGCAAGTCGGTTCTATTTTTCAACCGAAATTCACCAGAAAACCAAGTTGCCCTCGGATTAAGACCTATCACTATGTTCCAAGTAACTCAACTCGGTAAGTAGCTTAGTTTTTCCCAAAATATTTTATGTCTAAATCCTACGAAATTTGATAAGCTAATTCCGAGTTGAAGCATATCGTAATCTGAGTTCACCACACTTGGTCAAAAATTTTTTTTGCTAAGTAACAAAACACCAAAACAGAACAACTGAAATAAAAAATATTAAACAGTTGTTCATTCATTCAAATATTATCGAAATAAAGCAAAAATAATAATCATTCATTCATCATTAAACATAGTCGGAATAACATTGCAGCCTACTAAGGGTATCCAAATATTGGACCCCCGATAAAAGGAAAACAAACAAAACCGAATCAAGTTAGTAGGCAGAGTTGTTCCCTTTATCAACTTTATCAACCCCACTACTCCCACCGACTTCGGAATCCACCGAGGACTTCATTTGATTGCGGAGCAGTTCGAGAATTTCATCTTCTTTGGCCTTCGAAGCTGCATCAATTGCGCCATCTGACACCGGGACGAGTTCATGTCGAGGATCCCTTAACTCAGTTGAAGGAACGTTCACCTCAGAGACAAACTGAGCCTTATCAGCTATTTCGTCTGCATGTTTACCTCTTTCCTCAGCATAAGCAACAACAGCCCCATGAATTTGTTCCGGAGTCATGTCATCAAAGTTTTGTTCTACTACTACCTCGGCGAGGGTCTCGATGTAGAGGTCGGCCAATTCATTCCTCTTCTCTTTTTCTCCCTCCAAGATCATGTTAACATAACCTCGGCGAAGACGGGCTTCGCGCTCTTCGGTCAGAGTAGGTAGAGCTGGGTTTTTTACCATCTCATCGGCACGACGGAGCATCCATTCGCAAAACTCTTTCTCATCCTCATCAGGCTCGATGTGCATCCACTTAATCTCCATATCGAAGCCGTATTTCTCAAGTTTGCGAAAGAGAAAATGTCGAAGCTCATCGAGGGCATAAAGCCCGTTATCGAAACGCTCAATGACCCACCGAAAATTAATACAGGTGTTCATTTCCAGATCTAAATCTGGACCAACAGCTTCACCCACAACTCTGACCTCAGCCTCCACTTCAACTTGCTCCTGACCGAGCTGATTCTCCTTGGTTGCAACAACCTCTTTACCTGCTAGCACATCGGCGTTATACATCAACTCTTCGTGAGTCTTCTTCTCTTCCTCAAGTCTTGCCAACTCGGTCAGATGGACTTCCCGAGCTCGGATCAAATCCTCTTCTATTTCTGAACGACTTTTCCTAGTCTCTTGGTACTCGGTTTTTTCCTTCATTAGCTTCTCATTCAGCACCTCTGTCTTACCTTCAATAGCCTTGTGACTCTGTTCAACGAAGGCTAGACGATTTCTCAACTCCTCAACCTCGGTTTGCAAAGTTTTTTATCAAGAGTCAAAGTCGCAATCTCACTCTGAGCACCTTCAATCGGTGCACTTTGTTCAGCTAATTTTTCTTTAAAGGCTGCTTCAAATCTTGCAACTTCTTCGCGCAAAGATACTAATTCAGCATCACGTAAAGCCACCGTATGTTTTTTGTCCTCCAACCGAGCAGATATTCTTCGGTGGTCATCCTCAATAGCTACGAGGCTAATCAAAGCCCTCCCCATACACGCTTTGGCATAAGTTAGCCTTTGAACACTATATAAAGATGAGACACCAACTTCCGATTTTGGATCCCAAACCATCAATGGGACCTGAGCTACATTCAGAGCATTTTTCGGCAAAGATGACTTCTCAGTAATCCGAGGCGTTTTCACCAACTGAAACGTCCTAAACCAATCTTCGACAATTCCATCAGGAAGATTTATGTTTTCCAACTTCTCTTCATCAAAAGACAAAAATATTTTTCGAAGATCGGGGATTCATCCGTATCCTTCCCTTTTTCCTGGCGACCAGAGTCATGTTTCTTCTTGGACCTTCTCTCCTCGGTGTCGGGAGTTTCCTCAACATAAATCTTCTTCAACTTTTATTTTTTCTTCCCCGACTGAGAGATCTACATAGAATTCGGAGACGATTGTCTTTCTACAGCCACAACTTGAGTCGGCTCGGTCGATGCTTGTACCAAAGTCAACTCGGTCAGATTAACATTTCTCTCCGGTTCAACTTGATATCCATCTCCGTGTGCAAAGTCGGAATTGTTTCCGAGTTCTCAACCTCCTTTGGAAGTTCCATATGTTCAAGATTAATAACTGGAGCCGCCCGAGTTTCGGCTTCAATGGGGCTTTGGCGCGACCGATTTTTGTCTCAACGCCTTGACTAAGTTCCTTCTCGTCATACTCGTCAACCTCTGCGAAAGACTCTTACCAATCTTACTTCGGAGCTCTTTGTTGGGAAACTTACGTCGGAATTCCTTCGCTGCTTCAACCGTCTTGAATCCCAAAAATCCGAGTAAAGGGTAGTACACTGCAATGAAGACAAAGGTCATTAGGTTAAAGTTCAGTTCTGAGGCTCATATAAAAGATTTTACGAAGTATCTCCGCTAACCAGGCTTAAATGAAGTGTCAGTTGTAACCGGAGATAATCTCGCCGATTCAAGCCTTGCTTCTGAGATTAAGTCTTTGTAACCCCGTAAAGACTCTTTCAGCTTGAATAAGGTAGCCAACACCCCTCCGAATTCCGGACTCAATTTTGGCTCCTTTGTCCACTTCGCTACAAACACAAAAATCCTACCTGTTAGTACACAAAACACAAAATAGTCAGAAAAACTAATATCAAAACCATCAAAGAAAACTTACAATATCCAGAAGAAATGTTCATTTGGATCGTCATGCCGTCTATAGGAGTGTCCTCGACAAAATCCACAGACTGCCAATAACCCCCGACCCATGACCATTCTTCTTGGAATCCATGAAGAGTATCCGGAACATCCTTTATCAACTCACCAATTTTAAAGCCAGTACCTGCTTTCGCACCAGCAAAAAAGCAACATGATGGTCCAGCAACTTTCCTATTCGAGCTTTTCTTTAAAGTGTAAATACTCCGTATATCTGCACAGGAAGGCAACCCATATCCCTTCTCGTGTTCTAACACCATTAGTCCTATGATCTTTTTCCAACTATTCGGGGTAATCTGACAAAGAGCTAGACCCCGATCCCTCAGATAATCAGTAATAATATTTGGCAAAGGAAATCTCAAACCCGACCTCAAGGATTCAGCAAAAACTCCTACACAATCAAGAGGAGGGGAAGTAATTCTCTCACCAGGATACGAAGAAAATAATTTAACTGAGGGTGGAACTCGGATTTGTTCTCGCAACATAACTACATCGACATCAGTTAGAATACTCGGCTCACCTTCGTAATCTACTGTTACATCGGGCCACC